ATAAATATAAATATAAAAAATGTTGTTTAGAAATTCAGTAATGCCCTTCCATCTCTCTGAACATTGCCTAGATTACTTAAATGGAGTGATATGGAACTTAGAAATTCATTTTAGCAACAAGTTTTAAAGGAAGCCCAAATACTATATTCTCTTATATGTTTATATTTCCCTAACATTACTTGTGTGAATCACATGAAGAAAAATTACTTACGTTGCACATTAATCTTTCCCATTACTTATATTGTATACTTGTGATAAAATAGTACTGTGGCTCTACAGATCTTTCTTTCAAGTCCTAACAAAACATTGCTAGAGATGGAGTATTGTCTGAATTTAAAAGTATTGACTGTTGTGCCCAATATAACTCGAAAAGATTGCAGTATTTTTAGCTGAACCCAGCTCTGGCAATTGACATTCAATCAATACTCGTAAACAATTACAGAGAATGCTTCAGTTCAGGTGAGACTCCAGTCTTCCAGCCCAAGAACACACATTCAGTCCCTTAAAATCATAGGGAAAACAGAAGGATCACAGTTGCAGGATTTGGAGTTTTATCTATATCTACATTCAAGCTAACACACTGAGGATGCCTAGAACCAAACCTTGAGTTTGGCTATTAAAGACCAAGAGACAAGCTGCTATGCTCATATCTGGCTTGGAATTTCACCAATATTTGTGGCGTAGTCTCCAGATGTCCGTCTGGGTCTATCTGTATTCACTACTTTCTCAGACAAAGTCTTTTCAGGATGAAAATTTCTGTGCCTGGCTTTAGCTGAAAGGTGCATTATTTTGGATAGAGAAGAGGAAGAAAATTCAGCTGATTTGATTAGTTAATTTTTAGAAATATGTAAACATCGTTTTTGGCCTTGTTGACTCCTTGACACACTACACCCCTAAAGCCGTGGTGTATGGGCTAATTAGAAACCTGAAGGCTGCCCTCAGTGTGTGTTCTTCTACATGCTGAGAAACAACCGTGTGATTTACCAGGACTGGGGCTTCCTACTACACTTCCTGTTGTACTAAAAACATCCTTTGGGAAAGAGCAGAAGCTGGCTCTAAGCAATCATGAAATTTACCATTTGAGTAGGATAATAGATTCATTAATCTTAACTCCTTTGGATCTCTGTATATTTTCTTACCATGAGCCTTGCTTCAAAAAATTGCTCATGTACACATACAACTTACTGAACTTTCTCTTTGCTTCATCACAGCTACCATGATGTCAGAACAATGACTATTTTATGGAATATTTCAATCAAGTGGGAAGTCTTTACTACATACATTGTTTCCATTTCTCTTTATAAAAAGACGTAATGATAGGAATTTGAATGGAACGAACTTGCTGTTAACAACACCTCTTCGTTTTCGCCTGTGACTTAGTTCTTACTTTCATACCACCGCTGTTTTTACTTTTACATCCATAAAATCATAGATAACGCAATTCCTGATGAATTGCCTCTTGCAAATACTCACTTAAATGAGTGCTAAAGTGTAATAATCTTACCATTGATCTAACTGAAAAAAGATTTTAAAGATATAAATCTTTGAAAGTATAAAGTCAAAGCTGATGATAAATTTACTTCAGGTTTCTGTTAATTTTATATTAAGATAATTCAGAATCCACCTAATCTTAAGACCATAAATCTCTCTATTTTCAGGAGGAATAAGTGATGGCATTATCTGCTCAACACCAGGGATTCGGAAGGGAAAGGACCTCCTCAAAGTTCCCTATGAGCTGTTTGGGGCATGCCCTGTGATTACAGCTCACGTTCATCTGGCTAGCATTCACCACCATAGCATTGAGCACAGAAGTTCTCTGAAGCATGCTCATCACAACGAACACGGGGAAAACAGCCGTTCAAACTGTGAACCCAAACCAAAGCCAAGGCCTGTTAGTTTGCGTCATGCAATTGCCACTGTAGTAATCACTGGAGTTGTCTGTGGAATCGTGTGTCTAATGATGTTGGCAGCTGCTGTCTATGGTTGTGCCTATGCTGCAATTACTGCTAAATACCACAGAGAACGTTTGGCCCCGGTCAGACAGCACGGGACTCCTGAGGAAAAAGAGCCATTTGATAGCTCCTTGGCTTGAGTTATTCTGTCTTTGGTTTCTTGAAAATAAAACCCTCACTTCAGTTAAAAAGCCTAGAATCTAAATAGGATTGATTTAATAGTAATTACTGCTGCTTTTTTTTCCACATTATTTTAAAAAATGTAAATATATACAATATTTGGAATATAAAGAATTTATGTAGAAGAATGTAAGTTTATTTGTATTTTGTGTATGTATATTCTGAAACTGCTATTTAAGGCTGAGTGTTTGAGACAATGAAAACTTGATGTAGCCACTTTAAAGTATTCCATTCTCCATTACTAGCTCTTGACGTAATATTAGTACAACATAGGAGTTGTGGCGCATAACATAAGTGAGCTTTCTGCAAAGATAAATGCAAAAGAGCTACAAATGACCAACTATATTTTAAGATGTTAGAATACCTGGTATGTATCCAGAAATACAACTGACAATCAGTTTTAGAACCGGCCAGTCCATACACTGCCACTGATAACTTAAACTGGCATTAAAAACATCTATTCTTTCCACCTTCCAATCTGCCCTAGAAGACAACAAGTAGACATTACATCCATTGTCTAACTTAGAAAATAGGAAGTATCTTGTTAACAATCACATATAATTTTTAAATTACCTAGGAGGGAAGAAAGAAGAGAGCTGAGAACATGCTGAAGAAAGAAGAAATGCTACACTGTTCCAGATACAAGCACTGAAATGAGCACGTACAGCATATATGAAGAGACACTACCCGTTACCCTTCTGGCATACATGCTTGCTACAGACCTTACTGAAGCTTATGATTCCCAAATCCACACACAGCATTCCGTTTTGCAAATATCATGACTGCAGAAGCAGCTCCCATCACAGTGCTGCCCTTCAGTAGGGAGGACAATACAGTTGCATGTTTACACGTTCTGTCTCACAGAGAGAACATTCAGCTGAATTCATTCAAAGGTCCACCTTAACTTTCTGCAGCACAGTCTTGCCATCAGTCAGAGCCAAAACCATTTGAGTAATGTAAGTTTAGAAGAGAAAGAATATTTTGAATGTGCAGAAGTATAGAAGTATTTTTTTAAATAATTCTTAGAAATTACTTTAAGGTAACCAACAGAGATCAGCAACTCCATCTACCTTTTCCAAGACTAGATGAAATACATCTAGACTATTTGTGACAGATGTCTAATGTGTTTTCTAAATCCCTCCTGTGACAAGGTTAAAGACCTGTCTAGGTAGCGAATGCAGAAATAAACTATGCTTATAGTCTAAGGCTTTTCTTAGCATCTATCCGAAGCCTGAGGTGAAAATCTCACCAGTTTATTCCATTGGGCAGAAGACTTGAGGACGATGGCTGAGTAACAGTCTGCAATAAGGGCAAAAGGAAGCTGTGTCGTGGCATTCAGAGACCTCCGCTCCCCTTCCAACAGATGGATTCCAAGATCAAGTTCTGTAGCTATTCTAGTAACAGCCTCAGCTGAGTAATGGGCTATATGGCAGGAGTCATGTAACCCTTGCTCTTATCTACTTAGCAATAATTGCAACCTAAATATTAAAGCTCATTCCTGCATCTGTAGTTACTTTCATGTCCAGAGAAAATTAAGCATCTCAGTCTTAATCTAAATCTAGCAGACACTGAAAACAATCAATTACTGTCTGTCCTTTTTTTTTTTTTTAACTGCTAAGTACTTCATATTATTATTAAGCTCTCTTCATTCTTCTCTGTCCTGAACTAAATAAATCAAGCTGTTTCACATTTTCCTGTAAGGCCACATTCTCCAAACTTTTTTCCCCTGCATTCCCTGGAACCTTTTCAGGTTTTTTCATTTTGTTTAAAATGTGGTACCCTAGATTGGGCGTATTACTGCAGCTGAGACATCATCGGCACAGAATTTTTAGAATATTTATATTCAGGCTCTTTCAATCTGATCTCTTGATAATGTGTCTCAGAAGCAAGTTTGCATTTTTTCCCTTTTAAATATTCAGTAAGGCTTAATGAATAATCTATTTTCAGAGCTAAGTTATTTGAGTGTGTAGATCTACATTTTCTACTCTTTTATCCATTTATTGCAATAACATTTTACAAAGCAAAACATAATCTATCAGATAGAGAAGGCTGAAGTAATATAGGATAGCATCTTATTGCCCATGGGCCAAAAAATGAGTTCAGAGCCACGCCAAATCAGTGCTTTTCTATGGTGACAACCTAAAATAAGCATACTTAAACTCAAACTACAGATCCTAAGATGAAAGCTAATAAACCTCTGACCTCCAGAGAGATTTCACCCACAGTGTTTCTAATAGATTCAGATACAGCAATGCAGCCTTCATCACAAGTAAGTTCAAGCTTCTGCTATCTTCAAGCGAAGGAAAATCAAAAACTGACTTGGTATTGTCCAGTCAGGAATAACCAGAACATCTTCCTAGTCCCTAAAAACCAGTTCTATCAAGAAACACCTTTCAGGCTTTCCTTACTGTAAGATTTTCTTTTTTTTTTTTCCTAAAAAAAAAAAAAAGTGAGGAAGAGGCAATGAAGGGCATAACAAAATTTAAAGAAACTCTTTCTAAGTCACATTTAAGGTTCTTTGGGGATTTTCATGCACACATAGGCTGTAAATTGATATGGGGTTCTGCCAGAAAGTAAAGTATTCCATATTTCCAATAGTTCACTCTGCTATGAGTAGAGCAAGCCAATCCACACAAAATCTGATTTATACTTTCTAACTTGCTGTTTACTGAAAAAAGGGAAAAAAAAAACCAACCCCAAACAACAAAATACCCCAGAGAAATTTTTCATTTAAGGTTTATAAAACTATAAATAATATTTACAAATGTGTTTACAATTAATGAATTCCAGCTATTTATAATGATAAGCTAATAGCAGACATTCAGGGAAAAGTATTGATTCAATTGCTTAAAATATAAATGCAAAATTACTTATTTTTCAGTAGAGGAAAACAGAATGTTCAAATACTGAAAAACAGAGATAAAAGGCACAATTTATTGTCAATAACAATTATTGACTACAAGTGGAAGACTGGATCTAGGGCTTCCCCACACAAGTGCTCTTAATTTGTAAAGCTTAGCAATGGACATCTGCCGCTGAAATAAGTTGTCTACACAGATTTATTTTTCAGATAAAGGTTCCTGAGAAAGCTTTTTGTTTTTCCAGCAATCTTATAAGAGGCTTCATAGTGAGCACAGTATTTTTCTTCTAATCTCTGTGAAAAATACTCTTCCCCCCAAAGTCAACAAAATATCAGGATACACTACTCTGCAAGGTATTTGCAAAGACTGAGAAAGTACACATATTACTGTATTCCTGTCTTTCATGTAGAGGCTCACCATATTACTTTGTTTTCAGAAAAGGCTTTCTAAAATTTCAATTCAGAACAGAGATTAAAAACTATAATACGCCAAAATGTTCTTTACGTAAAATGTCCTTAGCATCTACATTCAAAGGAACAAAGCTTAAACTGAAACATACTTGCATGCCATATAAGTCATTCCATCCAGAGTTTGCAAAAACTCAATCAAAATTTGGCTTCATTATTCCCTAGTAATACAAAGTCCAAACAAAATCAGGATCCCTCTCCTTGAGTATCAAAGTAGAACATTTAGTGACACAATCTGTTTATCTATCATTACAATATTAACAAAAAAATACCAACTGTTGCCTACTAATAACCACCTATCTTTGCTGGCCAGAAGACACAGAAGCTGTAGTTAAGCATCCAGAAAGTATGCCTACTTTTACAACTTTGATCTTTGAACTTGGCTGAAAGCGGCACGGTCATAATAATCACGAGAGAGTCTTGGTACTTCCTGGGATTATGTTACCCGAAACGTGACTGTATGCTCCCCGGACGGGACAGGCAGCAACAGCAATCACCTGGATGTGGCAGTAAGTCACAACAGGGGAGGAGGAATTAGAAACCCGTAAGAAACAAACCAACGACGGCACACTCCATAACTGTCTCCAGGGAAAGCTGCGGTTGCGCTCTCTCCCTCGTTACAGAGGGATCCCCCCGTGTTTTAGGGCTACGTACACTATACGTTGAACTTTTTGTATAAGGCTGCCATCCACATTTCAAGACAACAAACACATGAGAAAACACTGTTAATATTTGGAAATACAGTCTACTTGGGGGCGGGGAATAAATTAGTTAATACATAATACTTAAACTGGTATTAACGTATTCATATACTATATAATTGCAGCTTCATACTTGCACGGCATTATTTGCAGTTTTCAAAAGGTCCTGGCAGCTTATCTGCTGCCTTGTTTTGCAATCGGGGATTTATTTTGCTAGCAGCAGAATTATTTAGCAAAATGCCCCTAGAATCTGATTGTTATTAGATCACAAAGATCTTCCTCCTACCCAAATTACAGAGTACTAAAACCCAACCGACCAGACAACAAATCCCAGCAGCACAGCAGAAGTGCAGAAACAAAGAGCAGAATGCACTCTGCAATTTGCTATACATGTTCATAATATACATGTTGGGATACTGTTCCAATTCATCTGTCAGATTCTCTCGGAACAAGTGGTGAGGAAAGCCCAAGAATTAGATAAATAGGGGTTAAATTCTCAAGCCAATGCTAGCAGAGATCTTGAAAAGCCTTGTTTCTCAATTCTTCTACACACTAATTCTGTATGGTAAAATGAATGGAGAACACGTACAACTGAATGCTGATGTGTGAATGGTGGTGAATACACCATCTAACTACAGGTTCCCTGTTCAGTCAATGGAGAGGCAGGATTTTACCACATGCTCCAAAGCATTCTCTGGAGAAGCTCACCTCTCCACACATTACCTACAAACCACGTTTCCCAAGTCATGGCTCCTAACCTAAGACCACGAGTTGTTTAACGTTAGACTGTACAAATACATATTTCAGTTTTCCTGAAACTGAAAACATTACACCATATACTATTAGATTTATTAATACAAAGCTAATATTCAAAATGAACAAGAAACTCCGTAATAACATAAACTAGTGGTTTCCCACCAAAACATGAAAA